GTCTGGGCAGAGTCATACAAGTATCGACTGAAGCGAATATTCGTGGATGAAGGCCACCTTCTGTATGCCCACCAAAAGTTCCGTCAATGCATGGATCTTCTCTCGAACCTGATGCGTCTGTGCAAACCTATCACCATCCTCTCTGCGACTATTTTTCCGCAATCGGAAAGCCTCATTTGTGAGAGGTTAGGCATCGACCTCGCTCATGTTCACGTCATTCGTGTGTGCATAGAACGCACAAACGTACGCTACCGGGTAAGATATGTGAAGCCCGCACTTCCACCGGCAGAACCGCAGACAGATTCTTTCCAACCTGATCTGAACATGGTTGCAGAACTGATGTGCATCCGCAACACTCATTCTCTGGATGAGAAGTCTCGCGGCCTAATTTATTTTACCTCTATCACGAAGCTCAATGCCTTTGCTGCTAAGCTTGGTCTTGCATCCTACCATGCAGAGATGGTTCAAGGCGATCCAGTGGTGAACAATGCGCTAAAAGCTGACGTTGTGGATGCGTGGTGCAAGGGCAAAGAACCTGGGCACCGCTGGCTGTGTTGCACTCAGGCATTTGGAGCGGGTGTGGATTATCCGCATGTCAGGGTGGTGGTACACGTTGATCCGTGCGCTGCCATGTTCTACCTGCAAGAAAGTGGACGGGGAGGTCGTGATGGGGATCCGTATTTTTCATACGTGCTTTGGCAGAAGAAACCGTTTCTGGCGGACCCCGAACTTGACCCTCACGTCGGTGTTCTCCCCATGTTGGAATTTCTCACTACCAGGAGCTGTAGGCGAGTGGTGTGGTATGACATTAATCCCCATGTTCATTCTTGCTGTGCGATGAATGCGGAGAGGTGTGATAATTGTAACAAGATGTCTGAGGTAGGACATCTTTTGCGTTAGTCCGTTGTTTCCGCTAACAAACGCCTCACAGTCTCAGGATGTCCGCATACTTCAAGAACTCACTTACCAGGCAGAACTAGAGCAAGTTGAACCCGTACCGCTTGCCACGACTCCGTTGAGCGCCGGGGAACTGTTGAAGGCTCAAGCACAGCAGGGGGAGCAGAAGCTTCTGAAGATTGTGAAAATACTGGAGCAGATAGTCTCCATCGTATGCGTCTTATGTTACTTTACGGGGTGGCACTGCCAGGAAGCACACTCTCACGAGAATCGCAATGATATTGAACGGCTGCTTCCTCTAATTCGGAAGAAACAATTGGGACGGCAGCTACATTGGCCGTTTTGTTATAAATGCTGGATCCCCTATCGATATCCGTGCAACCATCCTCCTCATCCTCGAGATCAACCTCTAGACTCTGATCACTGTCCTGATCGTCCCGTGCCAGATATGGTTCCTCTCCTGGTTCTCGAAATTTACACGTACGGAACACGAAAGCACGATCCCCCCATCTTGTCCCAAATTCATGAACGTCTTGGGTTGGGACCTATTCGGAAGGATTGGAGGACGATGGACAACTTCACAGCATGGCTCGGACAATCACGGCCTACTGCTGATTTGATACCTAATCATTTGGACTTTATTCTCGCATTTTATGAGCTTTACATCGACAGAGGAGTTCGTTAGACAAGCGTATAATTTAATTTTAAAGACAAAAACTTTTCTGGAGCATGTAGACCTCACTCTGAGCAAGGATTTCAGTGTCCATTAGTGATGCCAATGTATGCGGTCTCATGTGGGAAGCATGTCTCGAGCTCACCCTGCATTAACTGA